AATTTAGGGGTTAGATTTTATTGTATTTAATTGAGGGACTAAAATGAATAATTTTAAAGATGTCTGAGTTAAATTCAAAGGTTGGGAAGTTTAGGGACTAACCCTGTAAATAATCCAATTTTCATAGTCGGAGAATAATAACCTCCCTATTTGGATTGAACAAATTCCTTCAAATTGGTTATACCATAATTATCGTCGCCTCTGCCTCAATCCGCCGTCGTCCGACCGCCCTAGCTCGTGTCGCCATTGCCATTCGGTTTGTCGTTGACCGACGAACAAAACCCCCCATATTCCTCTATCGAAAATGGCCACTGATCGTCGCGAATAACTCACCAAAGTTTAACTATTTCTAAACTTTTGCCACACCAAAGTTCTCTCAATTTCGTTCAATCAATACAGTGCCTCGCCTCATCGCCGTGCCCATCAGCCTCGCAGCCGTTGTACGCATAAAACCCGCCTAGTGTGACGCGCTGTCGCCGCCTCCATCATCGTTCATTGTTAGGGTAAGTTCCTGATTTAATTTTGGAAACTTTGACATATTATTGCTGTGAATTGGGATTTATTTTTGTTAAATTGAAGTGTGTAGAATATCGGGGAAGAATCGGTCTGTCGAAAAAGCCCCCGTCGTCCACACGCGCCACCACTACGAGTGGGATTTATCTGCCGTTCCAGGAAGCTTCTGGAACCATTTCGGTCAAATCAGGTCTGTTTGACCCGATCAAGTCAACTCGGACTGAGTCAGCTTGCCCGAGTTAACCCGTTGACTTTGACCGTTTACCCGAAAAGTCAAAAATTTTGAAAAGTCTTATTTTATGTTTTTCGACGTCCTGAGTCTAAATCCGAAGTCCGTTTTACCAAATTCGTACTCTGTAAGCTGATTTTTAATGTTTTATCTTTAGATTCAAGTTGGTTTCCCAATTTAGTTCAGTTTTTTGACGTAAATTCATTTGCTATGTATCCGAGGAATTATTGGACGTTGAATTCAAGTTAGAGACTGATCGAATGGAGTTTAAATGTTCGATCGGTTGAGCATGGAAATCGAGGTAATACTCGACTACCTTTTGTATGCTTTCCAGAACACATTGATAATTGGTAATTGCATGAATGAAAATAATTGGTCTATGAGGTGTATTTACTTATCATTGGACTCAAACATAATTTAGAATAAAGACAAAACACTTTATAAGACTTAGACAGCTCGTAAAAGAAATTGGTAGACTAATCGGAAAGAAATCTAAGTTCAATGATTTAATCAGTAAATCGATCATTCTCGGGACTTGTAAATTTTGATTAATCTCATTAAAGGTTAAATGTCATAAATGCTTGGATATGAAACTACGAAAATATCACTATGTTGTAAAAGATAAGGTTTTCCCACGAAAGTGAAAATAAACATTTTAATCGCTAATGATCTTGAGATGGTAAAGGACTTAAATTTACTAATTCCTAAGCAAACACCAAGAGGCTAAATTACCGAAAGTACCTTACACGTATGAATTACTCGAAATGAAAAAGTTGAAATAAATGGAATTACTGTACGTATTTGAGTTGTTAAAATGATAGAATTACTCTGGAAACTTCGAAGTGACCAGGATAAACTTGAATACGAATTGATTTAAGAACCCTAATGACCTTAAATTAAGCGAATAACTTGGATAAGTCTGGAAACACTGATGATTTTATATATTGTGTCATCCATAAGGGTTTTGAACCACTAATTAAGCACGTTGAGATTTCTCGATATCGTTGCAATACAAAAGTGAAATAACTATCATTTTAATATCTGCACATCTCCCTAAAATTCATTCATCGAGGATTATGAAGATAATCAATTTGACAAGAGTTGTCTGTATTAAAAAGTGAATACCCTTGAAGTGCAATGATTTGACCGGTTGAGAGGTATTAATGCTGGGAGTGGTATAGTTTGAGATAACTCAATATTCCAAGAGATCGACACAAATCTTAAATGCCCTAAATCTTCGTTTCTCCCTTATTAGCTCAAATCACTAAGAATTATCCAAGAACCTAATGTCCAAATTGTCTCTAATTTCCTGGATAATGGAATTACTATTGTCATATATGAAAACATGAGTAACTCTGATACAAAAGACTCTGAATACTTTTGTAATTACATAGTGCCTCCAAAAAATATATGAACACTATAAGATCCTGATAAATCACGTTCTAAATAATTGATGCCTACATTTTTAGGTTTATGCCTCTGGGTTCTTTAATTTTCATAATTTGACACTTTAAGATAGAGAAAGCCTTAATCTACCTTTAGTTTAATTAGGATTAATAATAAATTGTTTGATTGCGTCTTATTTTACAACCTAAGGCAATGTTCACTTATTATGGAGTCAATCGTATATCTCTCGCAAGTATGCTCAGGGGGTGACTACTAGTGATTCCCAAAATAGGTCGACATCCTTTTCAAGACTGCAACATGTTTTCTAAAATATCGAGGCAATGTCCGGTTATTGGGCACAATAGCCGATCTCCAGCATTCATGCTAGGGGCGAATGCTATTGGATTTAATAAACAAATATTATTTTTAACTTTACATTCGAAATGATTTTTAAATTAAATTAAGTTCAAACTCAAAATTTTCGATTCTAAATATAGGATAATCAACTAGGTACCAATTTTTAGGTGCTGCGGGGGTGCTAATTCTTCCCCACGTGTAACTGACTCCCAAACCTATTTTTTAGTTTCTGTAGACCCTAAACTTGGTATTTTAATAAAATAAAATGTTTTATTAAAATCACCCAGCTTTTATGGTGTCACGATCGCACCTTAAAATGATTGGTGGCGACTCCTCACATTTCAAAACATTTTCAAAGAAAACCCCCAAGTCGTAATAAGTTTTTCTCCACCCGGGTGAAAACAGTGTCGACACTCTGATTTTAGGTTATAAAATTTATAGTTTAGGTTTAAAATTTAGAGTTTAGAGTGTATAATACGTAGGGGGTGTGGGTTTTAGATTTTAGTATGTAGGATTAAAATAAAAAAATTATGTAAATTCATTTTTAAACATTATTCCCTCTGTCCCATAATTTTTGTTCCATGTTGGCTAGGTACATAGTTTTAGGAGATAAATAAAAGTTATATAAAATAAGGGAAATGACAAAATTATCACTAAAAATTGACTGATAGCTTCGACATATTTGTTTGGAGTAAACTACACATTTATTACCTAAACTTTCATTTTTTTCAAAATCATACCTAACGTTTAGTTTTTGTTTGATTTTAGTACTCCGTCGTTAAAAACTGAACAAAAGGGCTGATATGGCATAGCTCAGGACAACCAATCTGAATGGTGGACCACGAGAGAATGACGAGTTGACCAACATAGTTCAGTTTCAAGCCCATCAGACGGTGGACCATGGAGATCAGAGGATGAAGAAATCGAAGAGTCTATCGCCGATTTGGGGAGATTGAAGCGTTTTCCAGTGAAATAGAGGCCAAAATTACATTTAGGGGGTCAAAAGTACGGGTTGGAAAGTTTGAGTTTCATCAATTGAAAGATGCGACGACCGACGACTACAAACGTGATGGCCGATGAGACTGTCCCTTAAGTTTTTACCGGAGGGTATTAAAATGAAACAAAAACTAAATGTTATGTATGGTTAAAAAAATTAGAGTTTAGGTACTAAAATGAACAAAAAAACTATAGTTTAGGTACTAAACACATAGTTTACCCTATTTGTTTTGATAGATGTAAAAGAATGAGACAAATAAGGATAAAAAATATATAAATGTTGTTTTTTTATTAAAATTTCTAATAGGACATTTTAAATGAGATAATTTTAAAAATTAAAATGAATAAATTTATTGAAAAATATAAAGTATTTATTTTTACATTATTGGAATGCAATAGGGTTTCCAATGTTGAGAAACTTACCATGTTGCTTCTAGATGGAAAAGTGACACTAACAAATATATATAAAAAATATAGTATAAATTATTAGTGTGGTCCTAACAACAACTTTTGATATTCCTAACAACAAATGGTCTCTCAATAATAGGATTTTGTTTTGTTGAGTCCTTTAACTATTAAAAGTTAAAATTTAGTCCTCTGACTATAAACAATTTTTTTAGTCCCCCAACTATTAAAAGTTACAAAATGGTCCTTTGACTATTTATATATATTCTAAAATCGTCCTTTTATGTTAAAAAGTTAACGCTTGTATGAGTTGGACGTTAATCTGCTGACTGAGATATGATAGAAATCATATTTTAATGATGTTTATTGGCATCACCATTGCTTTCAAATATTGGCTCGCCAACATAATGTTTCAAGCACTAGCTCAACGACATAATGTAAATAGAAATTTGATCCATGAAATACAGATAAAATAGTTATGGGATAAGATTTTCTCATATCACAATCAATAGGTTAACGCCCATCTCAGGCGGCTGTCAATTTTTTAACGGAAAAGGATGAGTTTGGAATATATAAATAGTTGGGTGACCATTTTGTAACTTTAATACTCGGAGGACTCAAAAAAGCAACGACATATAGTCAAGAACCATTTTGTAACTTTCAATAGTCAAGGGAGTCAACAAAGTAACACCTTATACTCGGGGACCATTTATATACTTTACCCTATCATTTTTTACTCCATTCAAAAGTAACAAACTTTGAATTATCCTTATGATCGACGCCTGCGATGGAAAGGTTGATCATGGAGGATTTTTTTGAAGATGTTTCAAACTAATCAGTTTCTGATTAGCATCTATAACTTTAAGATCATATAATTTGGTGTATGGAAAAAATGACTTATTTATTCAAATTTTGATGTTATGACTGCTAGGGTGTATATATATATATATATCAACATTTGTAAGTCTGTATAAATGGCTTAAGCAGAAGTACATATAGAAAGTAAACTTCATTAAGAAATAGGAACAAATTACATTGATATAGAGAGCTAAAGCAAATCTATAGAATATCTCATGAGAGATTAACATGGAAAAAAAGAAGAAGATGCACAATACGTACAGCTGACCAGAGAAACTACTGATTTTTTAGTCAATTTATTTCTTTCAATGTCATAATTAGAAAGAGTATTTTGACTTGTATTATAGTTCAATACAAAGCTTGATACGGCCTCAGCAAAGGGATCAGCCCTCCACTTAAGTGGAGGGACATGACTTCATTTGTGGATCCCAGCAGCTTTCCCCCGATGAAGATCATCGGAACCGGCGTGTTGCACCCCAACCTCATCAGGGCTCTCTCCATTTCCTGGCCTTCAGGGTCTTGGTCGATCTCGTGAACCGTCGGGGTCACCCCAAGGTCTTGGAACAGAATCCTGACCGTATAACACAGGCAACATGAGCTCTTGCTGAACAGCACCACTCCACTCTCCGAGGCCAATCTCATCACCTTGTCCATGTCTTTTGCAGTGAAGACGGTTGTTACACTTAACGTGGGACGAAGAAAATGCTAAAGCTCAGAGAGAAGTCACGATATACTTTCGATTTCACTTTAAAACTTAACGACTATCGGATCACTGCATTCGACTGAATGGTGGTGAGAGGTTGGAGTTTGACAAAGAGTGAAAAGGGTCAAAAACCTTGGTGGACCTGAAACTTAAGCTCCCGATGGTGGAGTATTTATAGGGAAAATCATAGAGTAAACTCCATTGTTTGACAGAACATTGAAAACAAACTCTGCTTTAACTAGATGCTTCAAACCAATAACTTTGAAAATATTCTGAGGCAAGCTAGTCATTTAGACCAGATTCCCACGATCGCCTCCTTTGAATCCAATTTGCAGGAAAAGTTCGAGAATGTGATGGCATTCGGGGGAGGCAATATCTTTGTATTGCGCCCACCAACTTGCATATGATTCTTCTTCCCAAATGTGAGGACACACTATAGGGGCTGCTGCTCTTTCAACGGCTTTGAACACGTGTATCGACAACTACTCTTCCTTTCATCACAGTGGGACATGACAGGATTCTCCACTGTCTATCCGAAAAAAGTTGGCATTGCAGAAGAGCATCCATGAGGTAATTACAGTAGAGGTACACTGTAAAATCATGAGTAATATCACCTTTTTGCCCTACAAATAAGGTAATATGCACATCAGTTGTTATAATAAATCATTAACTATGTCAACTAATATGTTAGTTTTAAAATCAATGAACTCCTTGAAAAGAAAAAACCACTGAAAATCTACAAAAACCTCAACAAGTTTCTGCGGTATTTATGTTAATCCGTTAATGAAAGTCTGAGCCCGGGATCGAACCGGGGACCTCTAGTGTGTGAGACTAGCGTGATAACAAACTACACCACCCAGACAATTAAAAATTCCATCTGGTAATATTAATTTAGTATTAGGATTATATATAATCAAAATGTTTCAATATTAACATTATTTTTCTAGAATTATCATTGAATATAAATATTGAAATTAAATTTGTTAGGCTTTTTAGTATATAAATCTTTCCGTTTTAAAAAATCAATTTTTTATATCTAATTGAACCCTCTAACCGTAAAAAATAAGAAATTTTTTTCTATCAGTATATTAACTATATATATTTACGTTACTGTTAATAGATAATGATGTAAACTAGGGGTGATTAATGAGTTGAGCAGCTTGTGAACTATTCGAACTCGACTTGGTTAAAACTTGGTCAGTGCTCGACTCGAGTTGACTCGACTCAAACTTAAAGTTGAGTTCAACTCGAGACCTTAACGAGTTGAGTCGAGCAAGGTCTAACTCGACTCGATAAGTTTGTGAGCAGTTCATTAATTTTTTTTATAATTTTTTAGTAGCCACCTTAAAAAATTTATTGCATTAAAAAAAGTCTCAATAATAATTACTAATTTACTGATAAATAATAAGAAAGATGTTAAATTATTAATTAATAATTATTTTTAATATATTAATTTTTTAATAAATAATAAGAAAAATATTAAAATGTCAATAATTAATTTACACCAAAAAAGAAAATCCTAATTACCTTACCCAAATATTCTAGTGAACTTAACGAGCAATTAGTTGAACAACAAATGTTTTTAACAAGTATGAGTCGAGCAAAAAATTAACGAACCTAGCAAGCAATGAGCCGAGTCGAACAACAAATTTTTTTAATGGGCACGAAATGAGCACCGTCCAACTCACAATTGACTCGCTTGATAAACAACCCTAACACCAATTTTTATTGTCCACAAATATCAATAATTAATAATCTCAAATAACATTTCTAAGGAAATGTAATATATATATTAGAAACATTTCATGATTGAGTAATTGTATAATACTTCTAAAAATATATTTATAATTTTTAAAGGCTTAATAGACAAAATAGCCCTTAAAGCATACAATGATTCCAACATTGACTATGAATATTCTTTTATAACAAATTTTAATACTCATGTCAAAAATCAATATATCAAAGGTTTATATAAAATTCATAACTCTGTTAACTTTAAAATCAAATACAATAACTCAAAGTTAGTTCATATATGGTCGTTGACACATCCAATAATTTAGTCTAATAGTTTCATGTTAGTGAATCGGGTAATTGATTTAGATTTTAGAAGAATTCTCAATATTTTTCAAAAAAAGAAATTTAATGATTATTTTTCTTAAAAATAATTTAGAGCCAAATATTAGGTTTGGAAAATGTCAAATAGATGTTTAGAGCCTAAAATTAGGTTTAAAAAAAGTCCAAGTGTTTCTTTTGTAAAACATAATGGACATGTGAAGAAGGACTGCGTCAAATTTAAGAGTTGGCTAGCGAAAAAAGATAAATCAATTTTATTTGTTTACTTTGAGTCAAATATGATTGATGTTAATTATAACAAATAATGAATTAATTATGGTTCTATAATCTATGTCTCAATTTTCTTACAGGGATTAAGAGACATGAGAGAACTAGTGGGAGCTGAAAGATACATTTATTTAAGAAATAAGAAATTGTTGGAAGCGTAGGTGGACACTTGAAAATTTATAATCTACACGCTATTAATATGAACCAAAATAAAAATACAAACACAAACTCATGCTACAACAAAATTGATCTATAGCGGCGTATAGAGCGGCATTTTGAATGTAAACGCCATTAAATTTATAGATATCACAATGTTTTTATGCGAAACGCCACAAAATGGTAAACATTAACGGCGTTTGTACAAAAACGCCGCTACAGACTCACATTGTAGTGGCGTTTTTATTACAGTCGCCGCTACAGAGCCATATTTTTGTGCCATTTTTTCAAAAAATGCCACTACAGAACCACACTATAGTGGCATTTTTAGACAAATGCTGTTAAAAACTCATAATTTAGAGGGTTTTTTGACAAACGCCACAACATACTCATATTTTAGTGGCGTTTATTAAATAAACGTCACTATTTGTCTAGATATTAGTGGCATTTTTGCTAACAAACGCCGCTATTAGTCCCCGAACCTTTATTCCTTTTTCATTTTTCTCCTTTACATGTTTTAAGGGCTTCACTCCCGGTCTCTGCTATTTTTCTCCTTTACATATTTATAATCCCTAACCTAACACATCCACCATACCCAGCCACCAGCAGAAGTTACCATCCTCGTCGTCGCACTCTTCAGGCCAACCACCAGGTGTGCATTTCTTCTTTGTCGCATACTTTTTTTTAGGGTGTTTCTATATTTTTGATACATGAAAACTTTGGGCGCTTCTCTTTTTTCATAAGCCAAAAATTTGGGCATTTCTCTGTTTTTCATAAGCATCCACCAGGCATTTTCTTTTCGGCCTTGTTGAGTGGAGAAGAAAATGATGAAATGAATGAATTGGGGGAATCCGTGAAGTTTGCTTCTTCTGTTTTGGTTTCACATAATCTATAGATAGATAATTTTGTATGAGTTCGCTTTAGCTTGAAGATATCATAACATGGAGTCTGCACCTTGGAATCATCATTGCTTAGAAACTCGAAAGCTCATACTTGTTTAACTGTTGGTTGTCTAAAAATGCAAAAGACATGCTTTTGATTGAAATTGTTTTTTTTTTTGATGTTGTGGTCAATGATAACACTTGTATACATAATAAACTAATTAAGGTCATCATGGATGTTGTATAATTGGTTTTATGCATTTTTGGTTTGCAATTTGCAAAACTGCAAGTTCTTACTGTGTTATCAGGGAAACCAAACTGGATTTGTTCATGCTATATTCTATTTCATTAAGGGAAAGAAAGTTATTGGTAAAATATTCAAGTTTAGGCCATGTCAGCTGCTAAATGGGTATTTAGATAAGAAGAAAAATGTCCATGGTTACTTCTAATTGAAGTATATTTAGGGTCCATTCTTTGCACGAGCTTGTTCCAAATTAGTTCACATTTGCAAATATTACTAATGATCTGAAGCAATTCATTCATATCGAACCTTCAACGGATTATTTTATTGTTTGATAATTTTGGTACATAAGCAATTAATGAGAATACCATATGTTCATTTTCTATCTATTTTCTCAACTTCTGGATTTTAAAGGATAACATTGTCTAACAAATGGCTAAATGGCAGTCTATGCTACATTTTCTAGGTAAACAAAAATCCACCAGTTTGATTTTCCCCCAAATTTTAGTTATTTGATGTTGAGTCAAATTGGTGACTACAAGGATAGTAGAAATTTGTGATTTTCCTACTGTGCGTCTCAACCAGCACCAATCGCGCATCCACCACCACCAGCAAATCATAACACCGACGTTGCCAATCTCCATCGTCGTTCATCATTCTACCGGGTAACATGCTCTGCTTCCTTTCCTCTTTATCCATACACACAATTTTCAGTGTTTTTGTTTCTGTTGTCATGGGCATCATGAAAGCATGGTCTCAGGGATCATTCGTTACTCCAACCAAATATTTTGGATCCAACTCATCTCAGTACATACCATCACACAACCAGTCTTCTCAATAAGAAGTTAATCGATTAAAACAACAACTAAGTCAAATTGATGAAAAATTACTCAAATGAAAGCCGAAGCTGAAGCGAGAGAGCAGCGAGAGAAGCAACGAGAGAAGCAACAATTCAGAAAAATATGCAGAGCTTCAAAATCAAATTGAAGCTATGAAGTAGATGATGCAACAGAATTAAACAAATAGTTCATCATCATAGGGTGTTTTCTTAGGTTAATGCTCTATTTATGTTATTGAAAAATATTGAACTACATTATATTTAACTTGGATGTTTGTAAAATTTGATTTATTTATGTTTTTATGTATTATTACTTAAATCGATTCGTAATAAATTTAAGATAGTTATTGGATATTGTTACTGGTTAAATTTGGCTAATACAAAATAGGAAGAAGATATGTTGAAAATCAGTTTCGATTAGCGACATTTTAAGGGAAAAATGTCGCTAACGAAGTGCATATTTGGTGGAGTTTTTTTTGGAAAAAAATGCCGCTAAATGACCAACCTATTGCTGCATTTGTGCCCGAAACACCGCTAAATATCAAATCTTTTGCGACGTTTGTGACTAAAAACGCCGCTAAATAGCGAATCTGTTCTGGAAAACACCTATAAATATCAAACCTATTGCGGCGTTTGTGCCCAATA